AGACTTAACACTACTAACATGAGCAACACGACGGGTGCCACATGTGGAGCAGGATCTACTTACCCTTCCGGAGCATCTGAGATCACCCTCAGTTTTTGGTGGGATTCGTGTTGGTCAGTCTTTAGTTTTCTATGTTGTGTTTTGTGTACTGTTGTTTGTGTGTTGGTCTTTTTCTTTTTAAGCCATGGCGTTGTCAGTTTTTTCGACTTATGAGTTTGAATGTTCCTTTTGGAATCATTCGCCTCTCTTTTATTGCTCTTATTGATGTTTAATTTGAAAGTTTGATATATTTAATATACCTCTTTTTTAATCCTTTACTTATTGTCTGTTTATTACTGGTCTTAATATTTATATTTATCCAATGATCTTTTGTTTAAACTTTTACTTACTGTTGCTATAATTATCGCATATTTTCACCTATACTTATTTAAGCGCCTATGATTGTCTGTTTGCATCTGTACTTATTTAGCATTCACTTTTTGCACCTTGTTCTTTCAGGGCTATCACGACCTTGCCTTTTCAGGGCTATCATGGTCGTTTGTTTTTTTCTGAACTAATTAATGTTCCCATGGTTGTTTCAACATTGCCTTATATTGTAATTTCACCTCAACGATCGTTTGTGTTACCTGAACTTATTAATGTTCCAATGATTGTCTGTTTGAATCTTGTTGCTACCCTGATCGCTTTTGTTTTGTACCTTGACTTGTTGTAAATGTTTCAATTATTAAAATGGCACACAAAAAGCAAAATACAAACAAGATACACACAACTAAAAATTAGTAAAATTAGTAAAATAAACAATGAATGGGATGTCAATAAGGTCGTAATATATATACATCTTTATTATCCATGAAAATAAGATAGTGAGCTGCATGCATATTCTCCATAAAAGTTATGAATATTTAGACAATAATTAATTAAAAATCACTTAATAAAATTTGTTACAATTTCGTTATAATTGCGCACATAGTCGTTTGTTTGAACCTAGACTTATTAATGCTCCCATGGTAACCCTTGGCTCATAAATTTTAAATCATATGACACCTTTTTGATAAACGACGTAATCATGCGTCGCTAAATTTGTTTTCGAACACAGTTATTTAAGACTGTCACAAATCAAACTGGAATCATACCCTGTAGATTGCGTTTTGTGTTTTCGACAATCAACAAGTTAGGGGTGAGTGATAAAAGGTCATGCCAAAGAGAAACGTTTCTATATCAAACCAACAAAAAAAAGCGCTTGCTATTACCAGAATAAATCAACTGAAGCATTTGCCTGCAGAGAAAGTAAGCTTAAGAAGTGAAAAGAAAAAGTTACGTGTATTGGATGTCACAAAAAAATAATGCTCCCATATGTTCTTCTACTAACCGAATTTGCACGTGTATTTAAAAAGTGTATTTAATTTTACGAATAATAACAGTGTACAGCAATCTTAGTGATTTCGCAATCAACTGAAAGAAATCAGACTTCTTATAGTATAAAATCGTTTGTTATATGTATTCAACTGGAATTAAAAATGTCCTGTAGAATACGAATTGTAGGAGGACACAAGTGAACTGGAAAAAATGTATACATATATTCTGACAATTTACAATAAAGGATGGAATAAAAAAGAGGTTTTCCAATTTCAGATTGTGCCATCCGTACTACGATGTACAGTACTAGCCGTCATTTAGATTTTAAAAATAATTGATGTATATACTTTATATTGGCGTATGTCTTATGAATTACAATTTAAAGTATTATGAGATTTTTCTCTATATCTTGATGATAATTTCTAAAAGTTTGTTTTTTTTAATTCAAGAAATCGCTTTAAGTAGATCAATGGCTAATAAAACAACTTCACCAAAGTCCAAAGGAAAACGATGTAAACAGCTACGAGTCATCGTACGACCCTCAACATTGATCAACACCCATACCACTTAGGTTATGAAAGGCCACCGCGAAAAAAAAAAGATAGAAAACTTACAGCTTGACTTCACCTTATGTTTTGTTTAAATTAATCCATTGAATCGTGTTTTGTTTGAAAATCTGGATTTTCATCGTTAAAAGTGGATTATATATCCTTATTTTTTGGTTGCCACACAATGCATGAACCAAAATTGTATTTTATCTAACACAAACCATATATTCATCACGAAAGACTTAATATTGAAACAGTACCGTCCAGCTTCTAGTATAATACAATTTTAACATTTTTTTGAAAAAACGATAAGCAAGTTTTTTTTATTCACGATCTGTGCAGGATAAACGCATTGATTCTTCAAATTGTGACAAATACTTCAAAGGCTCGGATCCGCAAATTTTACTTGAAGGGATTTTAGAAGGTTTTTTCTTTTGAAATAGGTGTTCCAGCCTATTTTCGTCGTTTTTTAAAAACATTTTCCGGAAAAAATGGTCATTTCAACACATCCGCTCAATTATTCATTGTTTTATTCATATTGAGGGCGATATTGGTGTTTTTTTTATCCTTGATACCGATTGTTATCATTTCACTTGACTTTTATAATTTATTGTACTGATTTTCTCTTTCTCAAATACTTCAAGTAAACATACTAATGCATTCGTATAATTGTATGGGACGTTTATGCAATTTTGTAATGGATTATGGAACATGATTCAAATTGGATTAACTCCCGTTAACCGGTGGAAAAATATTACAAAATTCATTTTATCTTTAAGAGATAGGTCAAAAATAAGGTAAGTCAAGTATCAGTTATAAACGCAGACTTCCATATTTATCTCCTCCACACATTTAATGAACTTATTAAACCAGTAGGCTGCAGACTAGCGGTGTTCGCTGTTTGTATTTCATATATATATAATCAATGAATATCAATGAATATATAAATATAAGTCTAAATTGAAAACAACGTTCAAACCTATATGTATTCATTGATTATCTTATTTGTTTATTATTCGTTGCAATAGTTCGTGTGTTTCCCCTTGAAATTTTCTTTATTTGGATTACTGTTGTCCTTGTATAGGTTGATATTTGCTTTGCAGGTCACATAGGGACATATAGATGAGTAGATGTCGTCTTTTTGTGAATTATTATCACACCAGCAATTATATATCACCCTGCCTTACTTTTAATGAGAACTTTCGAAAAATTGTTATATGCACATTTGTAAATTTAAATCACAATAATTTTTGACTGGATTTCCTCTCCCCTGAGTAGTTTTAAGTATACCTGTGCAAAAATATCTGATACACAACTGTTATCCTCGATATTTACAGGTCTTCGCCTACGTGGCCATTTGATCATCTATCGATGAATAAGATAATCATTTAAAAATGAGGTAAGTATTTTAGACACTGAAATAGCTTATAGAAATTTATTTTATCAAATTATATCGATACAAGATGAAATATCAAAAAATTTAAATATTTCAAACATGTTCTAATCCTTTGTACTTTTGAATGTCAGCTTACTAAAATCTGAAATATCATGCAAGATTTAAAAAAGTTCATGTGAAACGTGTATTCTTTTGTCATCTCCAATTGTTTTACTATCGAACCCAGAAGTAATGGAAACATGTATGCTATAAGCACCTTTTGATACAAGATATAAACAACAATAGTTAAAGAATCTTATGAATCCAACTGACTTCACGCATTTAAAATAAAATGCGTATGCACCTCTTTTTTAAATATGCCCACGCCACTTGTTTCTTATTATTTAAATCTGAGCCCAGGCTAAGCTTTCATTAAATTTACACCCAGGAAATATTAAATATTCGAATTCTTAAGTGACATTTTATTCCAATAAGATTGTGATAAAAATACATGGATCCGTTATTCCCCCAAAACAACTATTTTGTGTGTCTTAACAGTAAACATGAGAAATAACTTTGAAAAGATCAAGCAACTATAGCAAGTGCCCATTGTTAATTTAGCATCGATTAAAATATAACCCGGTTTTCATACAGTTATATAGCAGTTTGTGAAAATATCATGCGGCATGTATATGCTTGAAAAAAAGCAAAACAAATGTGTAAATATTCCCTGTAATAGCCGTATACTACTTATGTTCTATTCCTATCAATCTACTTGCAGTGCCGATCCTAACCAGCAGTTATCGATATACCCATTAATAGAATATAATGGCTGGACATTTTTTCTCCTCTTCCATTTTTGCGAAAAGACGTTGAAAAAGCAATGGAATCGATAAAAACCTTCAATTCCAGAAAAAATCATGTTCTTTTCTGTACAGGTCTTAAGACTGGTAATATATTTTTTTCGTTGCATTCACTAAACTAATCAGACGAATATTTATTTACTTACATACCTTTGTATTTCAATTGATTAATTAACTAATGCATGGATGAATGAACGAACGAACGAACGAACGAACGAACGAATGAAAGAACGAACGAACGAATGAACGAACGAACGAACGAACGAACGAACGAACGAACAAACGAACGAACGAACAAATGAATAAATGAAATAAATTTATCAATTTTATTTCTGATATTCTTTGCTTCGAAACAGGTCTTCCTCATAATTATTTGGAACTATTAAAGGTAGGGTATGCACCAAAGAGTTATTTGGAATGGATGAAGAAAATATGCGGTATACTTCAATGAGCTGGCACCTTTCAATAAACAAAATTAAGCCAATGTCTAAACATATTGTGAATATTTTGATAGAATTTTACTCTTCCAAGATCGACCAGCTATATATACACCAGATCTTGTAAAGAACACGAAGCACGTATGTCAACTGAAGATACTAAAATATACTTGTAAATTACAGAAAAGACCATGTAATTTTGACCTGCTTACAAAAATTTCGAGCATTCTTTAACATACTTTTGCTTTGCTTGTATTTATGTTTTGTCATCTATTATATAATTATGCGTCACAGAGTTGATTGCTATTCCAGAACTGATTTATATTGTACGGTCTATAATGTTCCCTTTTCTTGACCGTGATTTAAAGAGATGAAACTGAAAACTTTATTTTTTTACAATATTTTAGGAACACATTGGGTTCACGAAATATTATCGATGCTACTGAATCACACAACAGAATATAACACGCTTTTTGACACACTTCAGTTGCAGTTGGAAATTCCCCTAAATTACAACTTTGCAGAAACAATATCTGAACTGCGGCTAATAAATACACATTTTCCAATAGAATGCCTGCCAACCAAACATTTAGAAATGGGCGCAAAAATTGTCTATGTCAACAGGAATCCAAAAGATAGAGCAGTTTCATTGTATCATTATCTCTCAGGAAAAAGAGGTTTTCCGGATACGAGTTGGGAAGAATTTTTTAACGAATTTATACTTAACGGTAAGAAATTAGAAACTAAAGTTCACCTCTCGTAATACAGTGAAATAATTATGTAGGTCGATATAGATAAAAGAAGATGTAGGATTAACGTCAATTAGACAGCTTCGTATTTTTATTTGGAAGTATTTGAGTTAAATAAATATAACGTTGTCTTCAAATTAATATTAAGGAAGCCGATTGCACATACACTTTTCGTAATGGTCTGATTAAATTTGGAAAATTAAAGATATTGAGTTGACATCAGAAGAAAATCACGATTAACTAAGGAAAAACTCTGTATTAAGAGAAACTCACTTTATTGCTCTTTACCATGACAGAAGATAAACGATGTATTTTCCTCTATCTCTGGTTGCTAAAATTCTGATTTAAAGAAGGTATACTAGTCCTGTTACACAAATTTACTAGTTTTTATGCTGTGAATATTTGCCCATTTACAATTTTGGCAATTTTTCAAGAAAATTATGGGTATAACCTCAAAATGTATCTATCGCTCTTTGAATGTCCCTCACCAAAAGCTTGGTTTTATAACAATCCTGATTTTGGTTCAATGGACCGGTTGGAAATAATTTGGATGAATACGTCGACTCAAGCGATACTTTAATATTCAACACCTTGATTTTTTAAATTTTTCAGAAAAGTTAAATGGTGGTTGGTTTAATTACACCAAAGGGTTCACTGAAGAAATGCAAATCAAATCTACCAACATTTGCCCAGTTGTATATGAAGAACTGGTTTTGGTACGTGAACAAACATAGATGAATAATGACAAGCGTTTTTACTTATTCGTCTTTCGTAGAATAGTGTAATTATAAATTATCGTTGCTCAATTGTGAACTTTTATCTCAACTTAAATGAATACGAACATACAAAACTTTGTCCATATGTCAAAAGACGAGTGGTTATGAATACAAACACGAAATCATGCATGTCACAGAGGTGAACAATTAAATATTAGTTTAAATTCTATCACTATAATACCATTCATATTGAATATACTAATATTATAGGAAAAGTATGTCTTAAAAAAATGAAAACAACAAGTTATGAAATTCGTGCGTCTATTCTAAAGCGCTTTTCTGGATTTACCTTCATTATGAACACTCAAAGCCAAATATTTGAAAGCCATGCTCTATTACTAAAAAGTACCTAAAATAGTAAAATCTTACTGTTACATACCGTTATACGATATCACTTTAAATATTTGATGCTGTATTCATACGATAATTTTTAAAACATCCAAATGTAAAAAGTGCTGTATTCATGGGATAATTTTTGAAACATCCACCTACAAAAAGTATTCGGTTTATGCTATCTTTCAACTTATCTTGTTTTGAAAGGACCCCATCAGCAATGTTACTAGACTTGAAGAACTTCTAGGAGTTCCAAACAATGTTGATTTCATTACTAAAGTTGTTGACAGTTGCTCATTTGAAAAGTTAAAGGAAAAGAAAAAAGATGCAACAAGGATGATACACCCAGAAGGAAAGTCTACAGTATTTCGGAAAGGTATAATGATTAGATTAAATTTATTAAATCAAATAACAAACTTTCCATTAAAAAATAAACGTTTCGAAGTGGACAAATAGGTATACCGCTGTGAGATGCAATGCTGTATTGGATTTCCGTCAGTTCTTGAGCCCAATTCAATAGAGGTGTAGATATGAGCGAAAAAAAATGAAGGCAAATATATATTCAGTATCATCTCTACGGATGACGATATATATTCACTATTCAAAGAGTGGGACCATATATATTTTGTTCAAAATTGATAAGAATCTATCAAAATCAGCACATAACAAAAACAGAAATATCAAAATCCATATGATATATTTTTGACGTATATATATACTGCTAGGTTTTATTCTGATCAAACGAAGAACAGTTATTGTTGCTAGGAGTGTCTATGTCCTTGTTTCTTGAAGAACTGGTCACCCGCACTTCGATAGAACGGAATGCTTCTAACGTTCTATTCAGTTAGTGTGCATTACTTACCACTACATATGATCATCTACCAAATGAACACCCATTAACATTTATGTTACATTGTAGCATATTCCGAGAGGACCTTTGACTATGCGGGATGTATAAAAACGTTGTCACATTCAGGCGAAGTTGGAACTTAAATTTCGTTGGCTTAAGGTGGTAAAATACCATGCTATCTCATGAAAAAACCCTTTGCAATAACTATTTAATGGGTCCGCAGATGATCTATTGCAACGCAAGATAGATGCCATATTCGAAATGTTTAGTTGAAGTCCAAATTTCTCGCCCGATATACCGGTCAATCCACTCTGCAGTACCTACATTTTGATTTTAGATTATTTAATTCTATGTATGTAACATTTGCTACTGGATGTTAAGCGGGGAACAATGAATAGTATATTAATAAATATTTGCATTTAATTGCTTTTTAGGAAAGATTGGTGACTGGAAAAACTTATTCACTGTTGCACAAAGCGAGAAGTTTGACGAACGATACAATTCAGAGATGAAGGACTGTAATATAAGAATGTGTACTTTTGTAGAAGATATCTCCCTTTCCCCTGTTTATGTTTATTTTAATATTTTTATTTTACAAAGACTTTAAGAGAAGTCGAAAAAAACTGTAAACGGAAGAACATGGGCCAGAATAGTGTATCTACGAAATATTAGAAAATTTGAAACGCAAAGATTTTATATTTTGCCAGAATATTAACAGTATACATATATAATCCACAAACAGATGTTTTCAATTCTTCGATTCGTCTGCTATATTGTGAAAATTTTGAAGATATCCGATGATACTCAACTCTGCACGACGGATTTTTACATGACTCTTGAGCACATGTTTTTTCTCTCGAATTTTCGAGCACACGAAATGTGTTGTATGTAATAAGGTGTTAACATTACTTTAACCCCTTAATTACGAGGAAGGTTTTGTTGCTTGAATGAGAGACACCTTTTCGAGCAGCGACAAACAAATTAATAAAGCGTCTCTATGCTTTGATTACAACAGATATAGATTAATTATAATGGCTTACTCTAGTGATGTGACAAAATCAAGACATCAAATATTACCGGAAGTGAAAAGAAATTGCGTCCAATGGCAGGTTCTAACTAAAATGATATCGCTTAAATTCAGTACTCTGCTCCATAATTCAAAAGTATGGTCGGAAAGAAAGCTAAATGCTCTTAACTTGTTTTTTCCAGCGGTATTTTGGCGCTGCATTGACAATTAACGACACGCTCCATGACGAGGTTTAAAATTAGGAATTGCACACCTTCTCATATTCTGAAAACATAGACTTTGTTCAATTATATAAATTGAAATCATAACGTTAATGTTTGAAATATGTGCTATGTATTGAGAAATGCAAAATTGTTTTTTCCAGTAATATACCATCTGAGTTCAATAAGATCGATTATATCTAAAACTGATACATGTATAAACATTTGAAAAACATTACAAAGAAGCTATCTAAACTGAACAATTGGAAGTAAGTTGCACTGGGTAAACATGCTTTTTTATAAGGATTTTGTGTCTTACAAAAACGGTGCATATAGAATTCATGAAAACGAGATAGCGAATAAATGATTTTGACTATGCTTTTATAAAAAAAAATATGATCTGAATTGAGTTGAAAGAATTTTATTTTGAACAAACAACGCATGTTAAGGGGTAGTTTTGGTGATATGGTGGACACTGCAGAGGTTGACATTGCACTATGACTGGATAGAAATTTCTGCCATCAACACCATGTTCTCCTCCATTTAAATTCTCTGGGTTTATATCAATGCATATATAAGAGGATGCACCAGCGTCTGTATAATGGCCAGATGCTAAATAACCGTAATATTCTGGTTTCCATCCATGATAACACGAATTCCTCCCGGGTATCAATAGGACAGCAGAAGATTTAATATGGCAAACAGAACATGGTACATCCTCTCCATTCGGACTGAAAAAATGCTGGGACCAGTATTCTGCTCCATATATTGTTGCGTGGCCTGCTCCGTCTGTGATCTTTGTCCGATTGAATTCAGGATCGGATGGAAGACATAGACTCTCAGCTGCTGATCCGGAGTGACCATTATTGCCACCTGCTGCATATCCTTCAAATAACGTTCAAGAAATCAAGGCATTATTGAAGAATCGTACTTTAAAATATAAATGTATTTATTTTGACAAAAAGTCAGTTTTAATAGATTAATTGATTGGTTGATTGTTAATGGCTTGCTGGACGTCCAGTTTAAACGAGCACATAGTCAAGATAGCCTTATTAACTATAGGCAAGGAATGTGGTGGTGTTGTTTTACAAGACACAATCAATGATCTGTGTTTTCAAAAGAGCCTCGGATGTATCGAAAATTATGTAAAAAGAGAGAGCAACTGTCTAAAAATTAACGAATCTGAGAACATGATTTTTGAAAAAGTGAGGCTTTAAAATTCAGTGACAGTATAGCACTTAGATGTATTTTACACCACCTGCGTGTGTAGAAACTATATTTCAAGGCTTTGTTGAAATCATTAATTGGAGTTATAAATTGTTTATTTAAATATTTTTAATCCAGATAGAAAGAAAGCGGATAGACGTAGAGGCTTCATACATAATTGAATAAAAATCCCAGCACATTTCAAAGCGTTTGGTTTGAAATTTTATAAGATAGACCAACCATAAAACTGTGTCCCGTTTAGAGTTGAATGTGTTTTTGCTAATACAATTTCGGAACAAAACCCGTGAGTACAGTGGGGTTAGATGTGAGTTACTATATATTTTTCCGGAACAACTTCAATATTTAAAGAAGAAAATCAAGAAGAAAAATTTCCTGTGCGTAAGCAAATAGTGCACATATAATTATAAGAAGTATGATAATTATAAGAAGTATGAGGTTAAAAGAATGTTTTAGAGTGGTATTTGTAAGGTATAATAGCTATTTGCAAGATATTACTCGACTCACAACGAAAATGCCATCGTAATAGATAGCTCAAGCGCCTCTTCCGCCAGAGTAAAAAATATACTAAGACATCACCTGCAAATATTATACATTGCTCGGGAGATGAATACTTTGGAAAAAAAGCACTTGCGTGAATTTAAAGATATGTGTTTGTTGAAAAGTAAGGATCGGTCGATTGACATACGGTTAACCATTATCAAGACATCAATGAGGTTGTTTTCTTTTGTCCTCGTATGATATTTCATGTTTTACACTATTAAAATATACATGTTATGTAGAAGTTGTTATTATGTACAAATTATAATCTGCACAGACATAACATATTTTATTATTATTTTGGCAGTTGTCTTCTTTTAACAGGTATTACAAGTTTTATTTTCCACAATTCATCAGTCAGATCTGTTGGCCTATAGAACATCAAAAACTTTGAAAATGGTACGTTTTTCGTAGAGGAACACTCTGTTCTTAAGATTTTTTATTTGAGAATGAAGATCCGACAATTGATCAATATAGGAATTTAAAAAAAAAAAAAACTTAAAGAGGCATTAGCTACGAGATATATAAAAAAAAATAAAACATGATTTTTTTTATCAACCATTAATAAAAGTGAAATGTGAAATAATAATTCGCCCTTACAAGCCAGTTTGGTTCAGTTTTGCCAAAATAAGCTAAAAACATCGTTGATTAATTATTCACTTGCAAGTTAATAATTCGACCTCATTGAATCCGTATTCATGTGACCTCTTATTTAACCTATTAGCTTAAGATGGGTTACGAATGAACTAGGCGTGTCCAGCTATTAAAAGGAAATGAATGTCAACTTTGAAAGTGAAACAAAGGTAAACCATTTGGTTGACTGATTCGATCCACAAAAACTCATTCTTATACAGGTAAAAACGATGATAAAAATATTTTTTTAACCTATCATATGAAATCAAACAGACCTAGAAAAATCCAATTGCACGTGTTCGATATCTATTTGTATCTATATTTATGCTTATATCGGGTTATAGACCGTCGGCAGTCTTTGGAGGTCATCTCGATGGTTAACTAGATGGCGTCTAGACTAAAATACACACGAAATTTTGTTACATATTATCGAGTCCATGCATCGTAAATTGTTTGTTTTAGACTTTTTATAATTTGGATAAACGTTTTAGTATGCTATAAATCAAATATGACAATTTGAGTCAAATCGGTGAACAAGAATTTGACAGCTAATGCCCCTTTAATGACACATTGATTGAAACAGGAATTTATATAGAAAAGTATTGAAAATAGACATGTTAGATAATTGTGTACCGTTGACAATTGAGAGTCGAGAATCGAGAGTTTATACACTGAAATAAGGGATCGATTGGTCGCTTGGTTGGTCGGTAGATACTTTGGTTGTTTGATATTTGATTGATTTAAATTTTGCATAATAGCAAGGTTAGCGAATTTTACATTCAATAGTCAATTGTTTTGTTGGTTTGCTTGTTTGAATGATTGACAGATGCATAAAAGTTAAGAGATGCATATTCCATATTGAGAAATAATTTAATTGATTGTTTATCGGACGTATAGTAACAAATATTTAACTCACCGTTTGACTCAGAAAATGCTTATTTATTATTCCAGATTGATTAATTAATTGATTGATATCTTATGTGACAAAAGATCAATGCACCTATTTACACAAAGAATGTTAAGTGCCCCCTCCTGCAAATCTAGAGGCAGGTATAACAAGTCCCTCGAATAAATACTCCCCAATAAAAAAACTGACCACCATGTTTTAGCCAATAGTGCTGCAAGTGGCATTAAGCACCAATAATCAAGCAGTCAATCGAATAAATATACAATACCGGGAAAAAAAAGCCAAATTGAATATTATCAAAATAACATTTATCATAAAAATTACTTAGATTGGTTATACAGGTCCATCAATATTTCATAAATCAAATGCATGTGAGTTAATACAATACCTGAATATAAAGTAGTTGCAGATCCTGGACACGCCTTTCGTCCCCAAATGGTGTATGTAGACCCATCATCTGAAACAGAATGTTAGTAATCGAAAGTACGTCTTCACAAAATTTTCAAATGACATTTTAACTGCTAGCGATATTTTCGTTCAATGATTTTAATGGGCCAATAACGACAGAGAAAGTAAAAAAAAAAAAAGCAAGCGGCCTTAAGGATGTATTCTTCTGACTTTCAGTCTCGTTGAAATCTCGTTCTGGAACTATTTCCAAAACATGTGATACAAGTGAAAAATATCAATGAATTTTTGAAATGTTATAATCAAACTTAACTCTGTTAAAAAATTGTGTATTTACAATAAGTAGTTTTTGAGTTATAAATTTTTCAAACTTTATTACCAATCAAGTCAGTCTTTTTAGCCAAAATTTTGAGAAAATGAGTGAGGGGTACAAGAAATGATTTTACCAGAAACATGTACATCCCATATCACTGTTTTCTTTTCAAATTTCTTAGATATGTATTTTTTCAATCATTTATAACAAAGAAGTTGAAATAATATGCATTTTGATCTCAAAACAGAGAAAAATCACAAATTTACAAAATTGACAGTATGGTAAATTTAACACAAAAAAGCATCAAAATATGATAAAACTTCCTTATATTAACACCTACCTATAGTTTTTTAAGTTAAATTTATTCAGATTGGTCCAATTCATCTTTATTGAAAGTATGAAAAAAAGTTTAATTGTGGAACTGTGATTTTTTTCACGATAATAGCCAAAAAATGGGTAAAAATTAATGAAAAATGGAAAAATCGTCAAAATTGGGTACTTTCAAAGGGCCGTAGCAAAAAAAGAAGCGCACCACCATATGATTTTTTCTTCACCAATTGTTTTTTACAGTCATATAAACCCAAAAATCAGGTTAAGAAAAAAGTTTAATTCTAGAAATTTTTGGCTCCTCAGAGGTGTACATCCTTAATATTTTGCATGGAGCGCTTCTTGCTAGAAGAGTGCAATCGTCATTGGCTTCCATTTTGTATAAATTTTCAAAAATTCAAAAACACAGCATTGAATTCTTTAATCCATAAACTAACTTGCAACTTCTTAAAGCAAATATGACGGAATCACATGATTCATCTCTTATCCAATGAAAGATCAGCATTTTGTATAAATTGAACACCTACTGTCATATGATTTTTATGAATTGAAAAATTTACAGACATTCCAATACCACAGCACTTACTCTTAGGAGGATGGTACATTCGGGACTAAATACATGTAGGGACATTCAACTGATGACAAACATTACTAGCAGTCCGTACTTCTGCACTACATGAGTTTTCGCAGAAACATATTGCTTAAAGTCATGAAAAATCAGACAAATACACCGAAGACGATATTGATATTGTCAGAATGCTTGCCTTTCAGAACAGGAACATATTTATCGAATTTGGTGGGTAGATATTTCAACGACAGTCGGATACTCTAGAGTGCTCTAATCGTGCACCTCTACTGCTAAACCCTTTGTGCATTTATATGAAGCCGAATTCACACAAAATCATTCTAGAGACGTTAAAAAACATTTTGCCAAATTGTTCAGATTCGTGTCCAGATATATTGATGATGTTCTGCCACTAAATAATCAAAATTTCAGTGCTTGCCACTTAGGGTACTTACTATCCAAATTATGTCTGCTTCATATCAATTTATTCTCTTACAATTGACTCAGAAAACGACTTTAAATAAGGTTATCTGAAAATCGTGACTATTTAAGTTTTAACATTGTTGATATTTCTTTGTAGTAACATGTCCCATATTATGATTTTTGAATACCTCAGATGACATGTTATCCCACGCGCATGTTCACATAACCGTCTTTTTAACATTAACATTTATCCTTAACAGGGGGTACTGCTATTACAAAATGTCCTTTAAAAGTGTTATGAGAAAGAACGACTGAAATCGATTCTAAGCAAGTTTAACGGTCAACAGCACAAATTGGTTGACCGAAACGACGTGTCTTTACTCATGATACTCACATTATCTTTGATAATTAGGTACCAGAAAATGTAAGTTTGAAAATTGTGTCCTATTTCCTAATGTACCATTTAAATGGAGCCCAGTCTTGCATAACGATCGCAACTGATACAAATCGCCAAATACAGTTTTATGGAGTCTATTTATTCCCACGTAACCCCTGCAATTCACAGCAAAACTTACACACTGTCTGTCCATCTTCAACTTATAATTTTTCTTGCTCCCTAGTTATGTACTATGATATAACGATTAGTTTGTTGATATATCAGTAATTCAAGAAAGATTCCCTTTGGTTTTCGCAGTAAACATTCCCAAAAACTGTTGAGATACAAAGCAGTAATAAAATCAAATCACTAATCCACAGGCATACAATTATTCTAATTTCGTTTTGTGTATATGAAGAATACTATTTCTAAATTTTGTTGATTGTAAAAAGCAAGCAGCTGTATAGCCAATTCAATTTAACATATTACATTTCATATTGTGAAAAGCAAACATCTGCAGGGCTAATTCAATTAAACATATTATATCTCTTACCTACTGTCTTCTCTAATACAGCTATTTTTGAGTCCTGTTGTGATATCCGTAACTGCTGCTGACTAACGGTCGTATTCAATATTGCCACTGTATTTTGTAGGCGGGCCAGTTCATTCATAATCACATCAGGGTCGTTTAAAAGAAGTCTCTTTTCCACCGGTTGGTAACATAAAACTTGGGTTAACACAACATAAAAGTTGAAAAACGTTTTGGAATTCATTTTCACTGGTATTTTTTACAGTTGATCTACAAACTAAAATTTGCTGATAAATTTACAAAATCGTGACCTCAGTCGAGATTGGAAAATGCTTATCACAAAAATTGAGATCTATATGCCATTCTAATGCGTTTGTGATTTATGAAAACATTTCAGAATGACCTGCGGATAATATAGAAATAAATGGCACATTTGAGTATTCATTTAATAAACGGACAACTTTGCCATAGATGGAATAAATGGTAAAATTAAGTATATGATATATGAAATTTCTTTATTTTTTTTTAAATACTTATTTGCTATTGATAAACTATTTTATATGTATGCGTCAACTAGTTATATTATAATCTGATTGATATTAATCAAAATATGATTATGATATTCTACATTATTTCATATCGGATAAGAATTAACTTCTCTTATTGGATAACAAGGGGCCACATGACATTCTTTATTCTTCAGTAATAATTTCTATCGGTCTTTAACAGAAAAAAAAAACGGACCAGAAAACCGGTCGTTAACAGACTTGTTAACGACCGGTGGGGCGTGGTTTCTCTGTTGATAGATATGTCCCTTTAATAAAACATTTTCCTGTTTTCAATTTTATATTGAAGTTGTTGAATTGTTTACCATATGTTTTCGTTAATTATAAAATTATAGAAAACTTTATTTTGTTTTTATATACAAAAAAATGCACTTAAATGAATGGCAGTGACTTATAGTTATCACTATGACTGGTCTTCACTCTTTCCAATAGAAATCTTTCAATAACTGAGTTTGTTTTGAACAATTTGAGTTTATGAGAATTTTTAAAAACATGGTTCCTCAATGAAATAAACAGAATAGTTATTGAAGAACTGGTCATTATCGTGATACATGGACTGCCCGTAGGACAGTGGTATTGACTGCGACAGCGATAATGACCTCGCCTACGGCTCAGTCATTATAGTTGTCTTAGTCAATACCACTGTCCTTTGGGTTTACTCCTGGTTTGCCCACATTTAATTATACCAATTATCTATTAGTAAAGAAAACAAAAAAGACAAAAGGTTTAATGAGCATACAATTGTATAGTCTGTTCCAACTTAGTGATATAGTTTATCATTCTATATATTCAGGTATTTTTTATTTTGTAATTCCATTTTCATTTGTATAGAAAAATAATAAATAAATAAAAAAAAAATTCTCTCAATAACTTAATATCATTTCAATCGATTCATTTAACATACATGTACAAAACAATGACATGCAGTTATAAAGGTGTCTAAATAATTCAATAGTTTCTGACTGATTTTAATGATTTAAATACACCAATATAAGTTCTCTTTTATGCAAACATAATTTATATAATATATGAATCAAGTTTATAAATGCTTTGCAAACTAAAGGAGTGAATAAAGCACTAGGGTAAAATAGGTAATATGGGGCACTATATGTATAATGATGGGAAATACAATCAAAAGTCACAAATTATTATATTCACAAAGTCACAAATTACAATATTTCACTAAGTTGTTCAGTTCAAATGGAGAAGATGTGTTGCTACGTCAGAGTAGTCTATTACACTGATCCCCGAGTCTTTTTTGGTATCTGTCTTTCAGCAGTTTGAGTCTGGTGTCTATTTCTCTGTATTTTCGTCTTTTTGGTGGGTGTGCAGTGTATTTATCAAAATTATAAAAAAAAATAAGTTGAATAAATAAAAAGAAATTTAAATGACATTGTTTCTAATCTTTAGTTTTAACTTTTTTCCAGAATATACCAACAATTAAAACTATTTGTCAAATTCAATATATTTTCCTGCTATAAACTAAATCAAATATAAATTATTTTTGCACATTTTCCTTGATTTAATAGCAGAATTCAGTATCTTTTATAAAATTTTACAGGTAAAATAAAAGGTAAAAAATATGACTATGATTCAGAAATAAACTATAATTGTTAAAACAACAATTCCCCCTATGTTTACATATACATGTAATTAAAAGTGGGCAAACCAGGATGACACCGTCCTTTGGGCAGTCCATATATCATGATAATGACCAGTTTTTCAATAACTATTATGTAATTAAAGTGTGTAAAGAAAATTGGGACTCGGATATTCAAATGACAATACTATATATATATATATATATATATAATACCTTGACATGCTTACTACAGGAGTATCTAAAGAAAAACACATAATCAGGTACGCTCAAAATAAAAATTTGGAGAAGCCAAAGACATAAACCGTTTGTTAGGATCAACACTAGAAGCATTTTTTAATTCTATTGAGACAGAATATACTGTAGGAGAATGGTTTGTCTTAATTATATGAGCATGGTATAAAAAGACTTATAATGGTTATTCCGTGCGCACAAGACATGTTTCTGCAATAATCTCAATTATGTTTGAAAGAGACCGAATTATTAGAATGCCAAACAATCAGGCAGGATAAGCAAATTCTTCAGTTACTTTCTAGCTATCTAGTAATAGCTGAAAAACAAACTGTTGATTAATTTAGCATGACAGGTACATACTATTATTTATAAAATTCCACGAAGCTACGTCCACGCAGTGGTCGAGCAGTTTATGATGAATAGAATAATAGAGGTTTGTCTTCTTTTCGCAAATTCTCTCTATTATACCGTAACAAACCCCTATATCTAAAACTAACACATTTCAGCACAGACAGATCTGTACTTTCCTTTCAATTAACGCCTTCAACTTCTTCTTTCCAAGTTTAGGAACTAAATATGATATTGCACTTATATCAAAAAAATGTTCCTTTCCGGTAAGATTATGCTCAACTCTTCTAAGTATTCATACTTTATGATGAATATCGTCGTAAACTGAAAAACATGTGACCGTGACAGAAATATAAATAGTAACACGATAGTTTTACTTAGTGTAGCATACTAGATATATAAATATATTCTCACTCTCACTTTTTGCCAAATGTGGCAAGTATACCTTGACATTGATTTTTGGGATAATTCAGGATCAACAATATTTTGAATCACCCTACTCCTAATTCTCAATGGGAATGCAGGTCCAAACTGAGACGTGACGACTCGTTTTGTTTGAATTGCGTAAAAAATATTCGATTAATTTTAAATTACCAGTTTGCAATTAAACAGGAAGATTTTTTTTTGCATTCCTTATAATAAACCCCAATCCTGCTTGAAATGTTAAAATTTTAAATCTCACTTTTTTCCAATGACATTGCATGACATTTTGCCAAACTGAAGTGTTGAAATCCATAAAGCTTCGAGTATGGTTAATGCTATGGAAATTGTACGTCCGTTATTATAAATCAATGTTTTTAGTGAATAAAACGTCAAAAGAAATCCTGTACTTCCTTAAAATTATTCAGTTTCCAAATATAACCCAGCAAAAACGAATTTTATTTGATTCAGTGATCAAATTTTAACGTTAATTTCATTAAAAGATTATTGGATTCAAAGTAGTATTTAAAAAGGATTTGAAATGATTGGACCACAAAGTTTGCGTACAACCAACCAGTATAACGATGATATAAAAAAAAAAATGATTCCAAGAAAAAGACGTAAAAAGATTTTTAATCAACATATGATATTATTGTTTGTAAGAAGTAATTTATAAAGAGACACGCAAATCTTAGGACCCACATGTATAGGGTACACGATAATAGGGAACATATTAGCTTTAAAGTAATTAATACACGCATTTGGATTGTGATGCAGGATAGAATGAAATAGAGGGAGATATGTTAGAAAGTTTAACATTAATATCATGTGAAATAACCTATAAATAAGGAGATGTACACATTGATTAATTCAAATTCTGTCATTTTCGATGTGTCATTATCTAAGATAGCTATTTTCGTGCCTCTTACGTGTATTATATGTATGTCTAAAACTTTTTAATATATATTTGTTTCATTAAAGCAACTTTAAGAAGATAGTGTTCATATATCTAACACTGTGATTTTTTCATTTACATACAATTTTGCATTTAATCAGTATGGATCAAACTAAGTGTGAATCAGATGTGGATACTAATTTTTTATATTAAAGTACAATGTACATACAATCTAAGTATCTCGCTCTTGCAATAATATTAAAACATTCTTTTTTTATTTACCATTTACAGACGTTTTCCCAATTGCAAACTTAAAGACAAATTGAAATCTAAAAATATGAAGATGTGGTATCATTGCCAATGATGATGATAGATGGCTGCTTAACGCCCAGCAGCAAATTAATATGCATATTCAGGACGAGAACACGTAATGTAATATGAATATTAACCCTGATTTGTACTAGACCGACACGCTGAGCCGGATATTTAACGTGCTAGTTCAAAAGGTAACAGTCCGCAGGAAGATATGTCACCTTACCCGGACACATTATTCTGACTCAGAGCCGACCAGTTCATTGCAATTCAGACAACTCTCTACCAGAGACCAAATGACATAGAAGTTAACAACTATCGGTCACCGTACGGCAGTCTAAAATGAGCAAAACCCATACCGCAAAGTACGCTATAAACGGCCTCGAAATGACAAATGTAAAACAATTCAAACGAGAAAACTAACGGCCTGATTTACGTACAAAACAATAGACGAAAAACATTATGATATACAGAAACACACAACAACCCCTGAATTACAGGCTCCTGACTTGGGACAGGCACATAAAGAATGTGGCGAAGTTAAACGTGTTTGATGAAAACATTAGTTCTACTTTGTTTCATAAAAAGAATGCCCAACGTCGATACAGCATTCTTTGAAAAAAAACGCTCTGATTAAAAAAAAATTTCTCCAAAACCGACATTATCAAGATGCTTAATTTCTTGATTGAAAACTCATTTATTACGTTTGGAGGACATGCTTTTCAACAAACATAGGCATTCCCATTGGAACTAACTGTGCTCCTCTT